GATGAGTCTTCAACTGTCTTGATCAGTCTTCGACCGTTCTGGATTAGTCTTCGACATTCTTCAAGAGTCTTCAGCCGTCATCAACCGTCATCAACCGTCTTCAAGAAGTTCGCCAGACTTCACCGGAAAATCTCCGAGTTTTGGAAATAACCGAGTTTCATCGTAAGTTTGTTTTTGGTCTTGCAATTGTGGGACTTTAATTTTATTTTGTGAAATACATTTTCATCCAATTCTTTAACCATACCCTAGACAACACAAAGCATGAGGGCATGCTTAACCAGCAGGAAGGCCGAGTTGTGGGAACAGGACGAGTCCATCCCAGAGGGGGGTTACGTGACCGGGCCAAACTAAAACGTCCGACTCGCTTCAGTTAGTCTTGAATGTCTGTGGCCGTCAGTTGTATCGCGCATTTACTGTATTATTTTTAATTGTTTGAAAGTATATTATTAATAAGCTGTTAGTGTTTATTATTACACCGTAATAAATCCCACATAAATATAATAACGAAGAACCTTTTACAGCTCGTTTCAGATCTTACCACGGAAGCTTTCATTGCTGCGCTCAGACGATTCATTTCCCGAAGAGGACGATGTTCCATGATACTTTCTGATCAAGGCACTAATTTTATTGGAGCCTATAATCGTCTACAAGAAATGGCAGAAGTCGCGGGCTCTCGATTGGACCTAACTTGGCAGTTCCATCCACCTGGCGCTCCGCACTTCAATGGTCTGGCTAAAGTAGGGGTCAAGGCTGTTAAAGGTCACTTATTACGGGTCATCGGGGATCAAAAACTTACATTTGAAGAATTATACACCGTACTAACCCAGATTGAAGCGGTGTTAAATTCAAGGCGCCTCTCAGCCATTACTAATGATCCTAACGATCTCCAACCCTTAACCCCCTCACATTTTTTATTTTTGGAGCCTCAAAATTTTGTTGTTCTAGAGCAAGATCTTACGCAGGTCCAACTAAATCGATTGGATCGTTGGAAATTAATTCAAGCCATGGTGCAACACTTTTGGAAGCGATGGCATGTAGAATATATAACAACGCTTCAACTGCGTCATAAATGGAACTCACCTTCGCCAAGCCCCGCTGTTGGTGACTTGGTTATCATCCGCAACGAGCAACAACCCCCGCTTAGATGGGAAACTGGAAGAATTTGCCAAATTCATTCCGGTGAAGACGGAATAATTGGAATTATAACCGTTAAAACAACAAATGGAAGGTTAACGCGCCCTACAGCAAATATATGTCCGTTACCAATTCCTTAATCTGTAATCGGTTGTAACTTAAAACATGTTACCGTATTTATAATCGAAAAAATATAATAAAAGTGGTGTGATTACGAATAAGAATTTATTTATTCATTCTATTTTTACAACATATTTAATTTTCTTTGAACTTTTTGAAAACTGCGTGAACACTACTATCCGAAACATTCAGGATTACTGATCCAAGTCTGTATTCAATTGAAGGATACAACATCGTCTATAACTACGGAAACTTGAACACTCATGACGGAGTGGTTGTCTACAGAAGTCCTTTGCCTGTTCCAGATGATATTTTTGCACCATTGAGTGAAAGTAAAGTTTTTTGTATATTAGATTTATCAGGAGCATATCAGCAACTCATTCTAGATAATAAGTCTCAAGAAGTCCTTACCATAAATACGCATTTAGGGTTGTAAAGACCAAAAAAATTGCAATTTGGTATATATAGTGGACCGTCTATTTTCCAGTCCGTAATTAATAGAATCTTACAAGGAAGAGAAAGGACGCATTGTTACATTGACGATATTATAATAGCAGGTTTAACTGTTGAGGAATGTTATAAAAAAACATGTAGAGTTTTAGATAGATTTAGAAAACATAATGTAAGAATAAATTTTAAGAAAAGTAGGTTTTTTGAAACTGAAATTGAGTTTCTTTGTCATACTATAAGTGCAATGGGTATTAAACCAACACAAGCCAAAATAGAAGCTATTCAAAAGGCACCTATTCCTGAAACAGTACAACAATTACAGGAAATTTTTAGGTCTCATAAATTATTATAGAAAGTTCTTACCGAGATTTTCAGAAAGGTTGCATGTTTTATACAAACTGTTGCATAAAGGAACATCATTTAATTGGTCAGAGGAATGTAATAAGGCTTTTGAACTTAGCAAAGAGTTAATTTTGCAAAATAATTTATTAGTACATTATAATCCTGAAAAACCTTTGTTTGTTATATGTGATGCTAGTAGTTATGGTATTGGATGTGTTTTAAGTCATAAAATAAATGCCGAGCCAATCTATTTTGCTTCAAATACTTTAACAGATGCACAAAAGAATTATTCACAATTAGATAAAGAGGCTTTAACTTTGGTTGTGGCAGTAAAAACATTACATAAATATTTATATGGACGGAAGTTTACGCTTGTTACAGATCACCAACCATTGAAAACAATTTTCAATCCGAATAAAAATATATCTACCACTGCAGCTGCGCGTTTACAGAGATTTGCATCTTTCAAAGAAATAGCTAAAATTACAAAAAAGACCCAATATTAAGTAAGGTGTTCGATTTTATTATGTTGGGATGGCCTGAAAACATAAATAACGAATTGTTGAAACCATATTTTATAAGAAAATCTGAAATGACTACAGAACAAGATTGTGTGATTAAGATTGAGAGAACAATGTTTAAAATTATTTCATGAAAGTCACAAAGGAATTGTAAAAACCAAAATGTTAATGAAAAGTTATTGTTGCTGGCCAATCATCAAAATTTTACAAATTCGTCAGATTTGATACCGTGCACGAAAACGAGTAGGAATTTTGAAAGAATACATACTTTTTTGTTAAAGATTAGATAACATATCTGTTAATTGTGGATACCAGAAGTAAATGGGTAGACATTCATATTATGAAGGGTACGGATGCCTTGAAAACAATTGAAAAATTATGCAGGACATTGCCATTATGGGGTTACCGCATGAATTGGTAAGTGATAATGGTCCTCCTTTTTCGTCAGCACAATTTAGTAGATTTTTAAAAGCAAATGATATAAAACATATTAAGAGTCCATCATACCATCCACAATCAATCGGTATAGCCGAGCGAAGTGTGCAAACTATAAAAAAATCATTGTTAAAACCATATATATATACTATCTCCTATATCGCTGACTCCCTATCTAAGCAATGAGTGGCGAGCGTTTCCACTATAACCACTATAAACTGTCAAACACTCCGTCAAACACTCGTCCACTATAAACCATCAAAATGTCATCTACATATCTACCGTAGAAGTAACCGTAGTGGTAATGATGCTAAACTAATAGGGCTTTTAAACATTTTCAATAATTTGAGCAATTTACAATTTACAGTAGAAATAGAAAAACAAAATAGCCTTAACTTCTTGGATCTCACAATCACAAAAAATCTTAAAGACAACAATCTTAACTTTAACATCTTCAGAAAATCGACCACCACCGACGCTATAATTCCTAAGAATTCATTTAACTGCAAACAACACAAAGAAGCTGCTTTTAGATTCTTGTTTAATAGACTTTTTAACACACCTCTTAGTAATAATAATTATAATTTAGAACTAAAAACCATAATAAAAATAGGTCTTAACAGCGATTATAGCGTCGAGGATATTCAGGTAATTTATAACAAAACTCATAACGCTTACATTAATAAATTAATATATCCACATTTTTCTTCACCAATTAAATACATTTCTGTTCCATATATGCCCTCTCTTGAATTTAAACTAAAACATAATCTTCAAAAATTTAACACTATTCCTGCTTTTTCATCAGGCCTAAAAATTAGCAAACTCATTAACAATACCAAACATAGATTTGGAATCGAACAATCGAGTGGAGTTTACGAGATTATGAGACTGTAATATGATTTACATAGGACAAACCGGCAGAAACCTAAAAATAAGATTCAGAGAACATACAACAAA